AGTTTTAATTCATTACTTTATTTTGAAGAAAAGTGCTGCTGAAAGTGATTGTATACTTCGGGAAGCTTATGGTGAACATGCTCCATCTCAAGATACTTGTGGACGCTGGTTTAAATGCTTTAAAAGGGATGATTTCGATGTGAAAGACAAGGAACGTCCAGGTCAACCAAAAAAGTTGGAAGACCGACGATGACGCATTATTGGATGAAGATGTGTGTCAACCTCAAAACCAACTCGCAGAAAGATTAAACGTTGCTCAGCAAACAATTTCCGACCATTTACAAGCAATGGGAAAGGTGTTAAAGGAAAATGGGTGCCGTGTCAACTGAATGAAAGACAAATGGAAAACCGAAAAGTCATCAGTAAAATGTTGCTTCAACAGCACGAAAGAAAGTCTTTGGGCATCGAATTGTGACTGGCGATGAGAAGTGGGTTTATTCTGAGAATCCCAAACGCACAAAATCACGGGTTGATCCAGGTCAACCATCCACATCGACTGCAAGGCCAAATCGCTTCGGAAAGAAGACACTGCTCTGCGCTTGGTGGGATCGGGAAGGTGTGGAGTATTAGGAGCTGCTAAAACCAGGTGAAACCGTTAACACTGATCGCTACCGACAACAGATAATCAGTTTGAACCACGCTTTGATCGTGAAACGGCCACCATGGGCCAGAAGACACGGCAGAGTAATTTTGCTTAGTGATGATGCACCATCACACACTTCAAAACCAGTGAAAGACACGTGAAAAGATCTTGCCTGGGAAGTATGAGCCCACCCACCGTATTCACCAGCCTTGCTCCTTCCGATGACCACCTGTTCCCATCGATGGCACACGCGCTCTCTGAGCGGCGCTGCAACACGTGCGAAGACGTGGGAAACTGGGTCTCTGAATGTCCTGCCTCAAAACAAGGAAAGTTCTATTGGGACGGTCCCCACCAATCACCTGAGAGATGGGGAATGTGTGGCTAGCGATGGACATGACTCTGAATAAAGCACTTTGGATGTTTCTCTTGGAAATACGGTGTTTTCTTTGATTACAAAATCCGCACTTTTAACCGGTACCCGCACTTTTAACCGGTACCCGCACTTTTAACCGGTGTGCGGATTAGTTTTAACGGATTAAAAGTGCGGATTATCTTTCAGGTGATTGGTGGAGACCGTCCCAATAGAACTTTCCTTGTTTTGAGGCCGACCATTCAGAGACCCAGTTTCCCACGTCTTCGCACGTGTTGAAGTGCCGCTCAGAGAGTGCGTGTGCCGTCGATGGGAACAGGTGGTCATCGGAAGGAGCAGGGCTGGTGCACACGGCGGGTGGGCTCATATAAAAGAAAAGCATCCAGGACCCGCGGAGACGATTGCCCCCGACCTGCCCAGGTCCTTCCTGAAGGAGAGGCTCCCAGCTCCT